AAGTAAAAACTAGTTTGTACCATGCAGGAAACAAGATGTGCCCAGTGTTGCTCCACAGAAAATTGGTTGGTGCTTCCTGCATTCTTATACATGTGTCTCACTGACTGACACTGAGACCAAGACAAACCCAGGGGATGACACTTCAGCACAGTCCCTGGCAGGAACCTGTATGCCAGAGAGAGAACTGCTTGTTTATATTAGCTTTGAAAATGCAGGTACTAAATTTTATTAAGAGGTGATATGGCACTTTACATGCAATGATATTTATGGATGATAGAACGAATTGCCTACATTAGGTGATTAACAATCAGTTATCCATCTATTAATTCAACAAATATTTACTGAATACTTACTAGGTACCAGACGCTGTCCTAGATATTGAGGTGAAGTGGTAAACAAGAGAGAAGGACCCCTTTCTCATGGGAGGTGCATTTGAAAGCAGAAAGACAACAAACGGACAAATAAATCAAAACAAACCAGTGATAAATATGAGGAGGAAAAACAAAGCTCTAGGTGCTGTGCTAGCAACGGGTGGTCAGGGTCAGCTTTCCTGGAGCCCTGACGCTCAAGCTAAAACTCAAACAAGGAGAATGATCCAGCCATGTGAGGATGAGGGGAGAGAGTTTCCTCTGTTGGGGAAAGACAGAGACGGTGGGCAGCGAGGTTGCTGTGCGAGAAGAGGAGGAGGACATCAGTGCCCCAGGGCTCAGGAGGGGACTGAGGGGCAGATGCTGGACTGGGGGCCAGCTGCCAGGTCATTAGGCATGATGGTGAAAAAATATATATAAATAAAATAAAGAAGTTAGCACTTAAGAATGGAAATAGACTGTGAAATAGAAAGACTATCAAAATCAGATGATACAAAATATAAAATGGAGACTTTGGAAAAATTCAGTTTAGAAAACGATTTTCGTCTCGGTCTCAACTATTGTTAAGAACTGTCCGTCTGCCGAAGTCAATCTGTGGTACTGTTCCTTATTGGTGTAAGAATGAAGAAAGGGGCACTTCTGGTTCTTGTAAGAATCTTATGTCCTCTGTAATGTCTATAACTTACCACTTTTTCCTCGATTACCAACATAACACATGTTTCTGATGGAACATTTGGAAAATACAGATAAACTAAGAGACGAAATAAGATATCCCAAATCCAGCCACCCGTTTTGACACACACTCTTTATCCTTTACTGCAAAGTGCGGTGATTTGGGGTCTGGGTGAAAATCATGTGTTTGTAGCGTGCTAAATTAGGGTTGTTCCTTTGTCAATCTATCTTAATTGATTATACAATGACACATAACTGCAATCGGTTTAAGCCTCTGTCTGTCACCTGCAAAGTGAGACTAGTAGTATCACGTCCCTCATAGGACTGTGAGGGATGAATGAGAATCCACGTAACACACCCAATGTAGTGCCTCGCTCATAGCACATACTTGAACATGTTAGGTGTTATGCTATTTTTGTTTTACAAAGTTGGGATCCTATTTTAAAACTGTCAGTGTATAAATTATTATTCTAATTATCACTATTTTTACATGATCTTATTTTTCTGTAATATAGTTTTGTAAAACTATATTATAGAGATAGATTTTAGAGATAATAGAGATATATTTTAGTTAAATCTGTATCATGAGACATTTAGGCTGTTTCCAAATTTTTACCATTTTTACCACTTGAAACAATTCTATAGATAAAATATCATCAACTTTCACAATTATTTCTCTAAGGTAAATTCTAAGAAGTGGCTGGGTCAAGGGTGTGTATATTTCCAAGCCTCTGATGCATTTTAGTATGTCTTCTGCTATGCATTTAGATTATGCCCTGGATATGAGTAATGGCAGGAAGTACAGAGTCCGTGTGTGTGTGTGGTTTTGTGGTCTGATGTACCATTAGCTTAGTGAAACACTCCCCATCTCTCACCTTTTTTTATTCACACCTGTTCTCACCTTCTGATCAGCAATCATCCTCCCTTATTCCTTCAGGAAGCTTCTCAGTTCCAGGCTTCCAGCCAAGCAAATTTGCTTACAATTTTCTGATTTGCTGGAAATTTTGTACTTTCTATTTATAGGATTTTAGTCTGTTAGAAGCCCAATTCCCTCACCTTACAGATAAGGAAACGAAAGTAGATGGAACAAGTGATTTGTCCACATTGGTCCTCTGGTCCATGCTACTGTGAGCTAATTAAGGCTGGCTCATTATCCCTAGTTCCTAGTTCAGCAGCCCGCACATATAGACGGCCAGTAACATTTGTCAAATGAATAACTACTTGAAGTAACTTACAGCCTCCTAGGATTTTGTAACTGGAAAGGACCATACCGGTATGGAAACTGAGGCCCACACTGTTGATGAAATGAAGCTCTCAGAGGGAGACTGAAATAACAACTGAGGAGAGACGAGGAGGAGACAGGAGAAGAAAAGCCCGGGGTTGGGGGGGGTTAGGTGGGGGGGGGTGAGGTGGGCGTCACTGTAGAGCAGATATCCGGCTGATTCTACCTCGTTCCAGGGAGGGCGAGGCCGAGACGAAGCAGAACTGGAAGCTGTTGGTAGGCCAATTTCAGCACGATATGGGGAAGGGCTTTTTAACAGTCAAGACTGTCGAAAACTAAAATAAGTTTTCCTGAAGAGAAGTGAGTTGTCCCTAATTAGAGGTGTTGAAGTAGAAACAGGGTACTTTGGAATAAATAACTTGCCAAGTAAGGCTGAATAGAAAAAAATTGGTTTCTGTGCCTGGTTGGGATACATGACTTCTAAGGTGTCTACCAAAACTGAGATGAAATGATTTTGTGAGTATGTATGTCTGTACATCAATATATCTACATCTATATATCACATAGAGATAGATATAGATAGATGGATAATTTTTGTCTTGTTGATATGTTACTTCTAAGTGTGAACTTACTGTCTTCCTCATTATAAATAGGAACAGATAAACTCTGTCTGTAGTGATCCAAGATGTTATGGTTTTAAATAATTTTCTCTTGTCTTTTTTTTTAAGATTTATTCATTTATTTTTAGAGAGGGAAGGGAGGGAGAAAGAGAGAGAGAGAGAAACAGAGAGAGAGAGAGGGAGAGATAGAGAGACATCAGTGTTTCTGGGGCCGTGGCCTGCAACCCAGGAATGTGCCCTGGCTGGGAATCGAACCTGCGATACTTTGGTTCACAGCCCGCGCTCAATCCACTGAGCTACGCCAGCCAGTGCCAATAATTTTCTCTTTAGTGCTAATTCAGTGCACTACATGCAGCAGGAGATCAAAAGATAAATTTAAATTAGTTCTTAAGTCTGAAAAAATCTACATTTAAGAAAAATTGAGCTATGGGCTCCATGCAGTTGGATAGTGTGGTCTCAATCAAATATATATGTTGATCACATTGAAGAGCTCTAAATACAGATTATTTTTTTTAAATAAAAAAGGTTAAAATTTAAAAAGAAATTTGGGTAGATTGTGTTGTGATGAGATAAAAGTGTTCTTTTACTGGGTTTCTGAATGATGATGTGAAATTATGGCTGGAATTATTTCCTAGAATACAAAGAATCCTTTTACTACGAAACTGAAAATATGATTTAATTGTATTTCAAGCATGGAGTTACTGAAAGACTGCTCTTAGCATAACAATTTTACCCAAATTTTAGCAATAAGACAGCTACATAAATGAACCATATTACAAGAATACTTTAAATCTTCGAGACTTCCTATCAGCAATAGAAATGGAGATTCTGACAAGGTCCTAATTGGGTTCGGAGAAAGCTCCACTCTCAGACAGTGAAGTGGCAAAGCTGTGATGGGTCCCACACATGGAGTTTCTGAAGCACTCTTTGTGATTCTGACCAGAAAGAAAGTGGATTAAAAAAACAGCAAAGAGTGCCTTGTTTGGCTTCCCTTCTTTCTTCCTTCCTTCCTCCTCTTCCTCCTCCTCCTCCTTTCTCATTGAAAGGCTAAGTAAGCAAATTATTGTTTGAATTAAGTATCTCATTTGATTTATCAACACTGTCATTGTTTGGAATGTTCTTTTTTATTTTTATTTTTCAATTACAGGTGACATTCAATATTATATTAGTTTCAGGTGTACAGTGTAGAGGTTAGACATTTGTATAACTCATGAGATGATCCCTCCATAATTCCAGGATGCACCTGGCACTGTTCATAGTTATTATAATATTATGGACTACATTCCCTATCTGTACTTTATACTCCCGTGACTGTTTGGTAACTACCAATTTGTATTTCTTAATTCCTTCACCTTTCTATCAATCCCTCCAACCCCCCTCCCACCTGACAACCATCAGTTTGTTCTCTGTATCTGTGAATTTGTGTTTTTGTTCATTAATTTTGTTTTTTAGATTTGAAAAGATACGTGCATCCTTAGGTTTACTGCAGCATTATTTGCAGTAGATAAGATATGGATGCAACCTAAGTGTCCATCAATAGACAACTGAATAAAGAAGATGTGGTATGTATATATACAATGGAATATTACTTGGACATAAAAAGCATGAAATCTTATCATTTGTTTTGGATACTCTTAACAGCAAAAAAAAAAAAAAAATACAGCTTGAATCAAGATAGGCCCCCCATTGGCCAGAATATTTCAGCCATACCTTCTCAGTTAGGAAAATGTATAATATTTCCGGGGCAGCAAGACCTTCTATGTTTCAGGCCTTGTGTATGTTTCAGGCCAGAGAGCTAAAAATGTCGCATGGATCTTGGCCTCACGGAGACGCAGAGAAGATGCATAGCACAGGCTCATCATAGAACCCAGGTGAGCCTCAGAGTTCTCCAGACAGTCGCTGCAAATTCACCACAGATCGGCATAAGAGGGGACATCTATTAGTCACTGCTGGTAGGAAGTCAAAAGTTCTCTGGTAATGGGTCTCATTTTAACAGTCATAGTCAGGTTTATTTCATGTCTGTAAAGTAAGACTCATTTCATGTGTTTCCTGCCAAAATTGTATTTTTGGAATTCCTGTCTCAGAAACATGACACAAAAACAGTTTTAGAAAAGTTACCTCCACTGCTGCTTTTGCCCTTTCAAATTCCTCTTCTAAGGAGTGGTTTCTGGAGAGTAATGCACTTCCCCAGCGCTGCTCTTTGGTCAGCCGAGCCTGAAATAAATCAGACACATGGTGTTACAATATTGGAATCCCATAACACAAAAGTACAATCATTTTTCCTTTTCCCACATTCCCCTAGAGTTTAAGCAGCACCTGCAATTGATGTCATTTTTGGAGTACTTTGCAAGCATGATATTGCCCAAACTGGCAGGGCGCCAAAATGTGTGGGCACACGCACGCATGATTCATCTAACAGGGTCTCACTCAGCCCTGGTCACGTTGAAACCAAAGATCTTACTTTAATTAGCCTTGGTGCTAGGCATTAATATTTTAGTAAGTCTCCCATATGATTCTAACAGGCAGCTGGAATGGAGAATCTCCATCAGAAGATGAGACCTAGAAGCTGACACTCAAGCTGTCAGCTTGTTAGAAGGACCAGCCTCAGGTAGAACTGGGGGAGCTGTAGAAATGAACGGTGGTGGTAAGGTCTTTCTCTTTAAGAGGGTAGCAGGTCTGCACGCTGCATCATCTTTCCTTTGCCTTCCCTCTGTTGGTGCACATCTGCCTTACGTCCCATTTCCTGAGTTCATCGTTCTCTGTTAAATAACAGTCACGTAGATGAAATCAGGGCTGGTGACACCAACCGCTCTGTCACAATTAACAGGCTTAGCAAAGAGTCTGCTGGAATTTGTAAACATGTTGTTAGTTTTCAATTTGACAAACAACGAATACTTTCTTTTTGAAAAATTAATTGTGGAAAATAAGAGGTGCACCTCCAGACTATTTTCTTCGTAGGTTTGTGAAAGGCCCGCAGACAACCGAGGCAGGGAGGGAACGGGACCCAAACGTACCAGGGAAACAAACTACCTCGGGGTTCTGGGGGTTAGGGTGGAGACATGGCTTTTTGCTGGCTACCTTTCATCCCGTCACAGCCCTTGTCTGACACTCTTTGGTCACAATGTTTGATGAACAAATATATAGATGCAGATGGTTTACAACCTTTCAAATTTGTAAATGTGAGGGGGTTATAGCCTGGTAGAAAAGTAAACCCCAAAGGTGATGGAATATTTTTTTCTTGTCGAGTGTTACCCAGTCCTGTCTCTAACTTGGCAAACTGATTTTGGCATTTCTTTCCCAGCTGGTTATATGAGTCTCCATCTCTTAATCCATTGCTTTTGGAACCTACTCTTACGTCTTCCTGCTGGTTCCTTCATTAAGGAAATAAACAAAGAAGTAAATTTTAAACTGTGGATGCATGGCAAGACCTGAGCTTTGTATGTTTGTGTAATAATGTCATGAATGAGCTGTGAACGGCATTAGAAGGAAAATAAAGCACCAATATTTTTGTGCCAAGCCACCTTCTTCTGTCCCAGGCACTTTTCACCAGTGAAATGCGATCTGTCTTTCCCATGAAGCCTGACCTCACAGGACTCCATTACTGCCACCAGCTTCCCTTCATCAATGTTTCATGACCCGAGTGGATTAGGAGTCACAGGAGACAAAGGGAGAAGAGGAAAATCTCTGTCTCAGGATTCTAGACTTAACAGTTCACATTCTCTTTACCACCCAAAACAGCAAGTATAAAATCTTATCGTGCAAATGAAATTATATTTTGCTAGTGCAATTGCTACTCAGGTAAATGGTATTTTCCATGTTGTTAGAAAGGCTTTGGATTATTACTAAACAAGTGTTATCTACCTCACGTTAGAAAGCCATATATTTTTCCCAGAGAAGCATGAGATGAACGTTATGAAGTACAGGGAAATACTGAATGTAAAAAAGCAGTTTTCAAGTTGAGGTTTGTGTGCAAATAAAGATTATGGGCAAACCCGTGATAATGGGAAAGCCTGTGTGAGCAGGGCTTGTAAACTGTGGCTGTGGCTTAGTGTTGACCTAGAGGAACGGCAAACAAGACCATGACACCCATTTGTTTGGGCCACAGCTGTTCCAGGGGCACAGTAGTGCTCTGTATCAGTAGCTCTCCTGCGTTAGTGGGCATCAGGATCCCCTGGAGGACTGACTCAAATGCAGGTTACTGGGTCCACCCCTAGGGTTTCTGGTTCAGTAGGTGGGGTGTAGCCCCAGAATCTGCCTTTCTAACAAGTTTGCAGGTGATGCAGATCAGGCTGGTGGAGGGATCACACTAGGAGAATTTCGGGTCTCAGTACTGGCACGGTGCACATGCAGGTGGAACTCGGGAGTTCATACATGTACTCTGACAGAGACATTTCTTTTCTTCTCTGAGTGATTTTGAAAAAATGCTCCACGTTTACAGCAACCTACTGGAAGTGCCTTAGCATTAAAAACAGCATTTTAATTGGTGTAAGCTAATTGGATTTTAGGGTCTTGCACTCTCCAAGGAAGGAAACATTAGTTCCTTCAGCTTTGTTTGGAATTATAAGCACTAGGTGAGAGGAAAGAAGAAATAAATTAATTCTTTAAAAAGGCTATTATGTTTTATTTCCCTTATTCAAAATTGTGAGTGTGACCAAAATTGTGATTTGAAACTGGCCGTACTGGTGGCTGAGGCTGTGCTGGCATAGCTTTGTTGGCTCATCTCGATGCCCGTCACTTATTGCTTCTCGTGCATCGCTTTTATGCTGAGATCTCCCACCAGAACACTTTTTTAGAAAGCTCAGCATCTTTTCAAAAGAAATGGAAGGGGAAAAGGGATCTGCATAACTGTAGAAGAGAAAAATGTAACAACTAGCAGACCTGAGGTGACAATATAACAAAGTCATGAAAAACGTAACCTCTGGAGTCAGACTGCCTGGGGCCAGACCTATTTACTGGGAACTGGTGACCCGGGACAAACGACTCAGTGGTATAATCCTCAGTCTGCACAGTGTGCATTCACTTACAGAATCAATACAAGAACTGAGAACAATAATTCATGTAAATACACACACAAAATGCTCAGTAGGTAGTAAGCGTTCAATAAAACTTGGCCTTTGTTTTCATCTTTCTGATTAGTACTTATCAGGTGTGGCTTTAGAAATACCTTAAAAATATCTGTGCTGACAGCACTTTTGTTCAGTGGTTACTGAAGACTAGTGGTTACTGAGTTGGATTCTTACACTACAACAGATAATTTAAATACTTGCTTCAGTGAGATGTTCAGATTTTTTTTCTTGATCAGTCAGCAGACATTTATCATTGAAAGCTCACAAATAAGCTCTACTTAAGTGTAAAGAGCAAATTCTGAGCTTGTGCAAGGAGGGCGCACATGGTTCCCATCTCCATCCAACTATGAAATTCTGTACTGTAGAGCATCAAGGTGAATCACTGCTGATGTTGAAAAGAGATGGACAGTCTATTATCATGACTAACTCACGGGTATTTTTAAAACTAGCTTCAACATGATCAAGAATTAATTTTTTCTTTTTATTTTTCTACCCTTTACCCATTAACCACTACTTACAAATTATTAAATTTGACAAGTGTGTATTGTTTCTTCTCTTCATTAGCATTCTCTAATTCTTTACTTCAACAAGTATTTGTTGAGCACTTCTTATGTACAGATTTCCTACCATGCCAAAAATGATCATTTGGCTTTCTTCCTGTCCTTTCTTGCCCTCCTTTCCTTATTTCCTTTCTTCTACCTTTGCTTGCTTCCCTCCTCATTGGCAGCTCACTGCGTATGTCCAGGAGGGGCAAGGGAATGTGTATGTGGCTCCTGTACCATCTTCCAACAGGCCAAACTATATGTATAGTGTACTATCTGTTTCTAAGTGATACTTCCTCCAGTCGAAACCCTCTTTCTAATTTTTTCACTACCTCACTATGGCTTTATGAATAGTCAACAATCACATTTGTTGAATCAAAGTGGAATAAAATGGGAGCCATCCACATTTCTAAGAGTTTGAGAATGAATTTGGCAGAGGAGGCACAAAATTGTACGTAGTTTCAGATCAGATGACAATCCTAATCTATCTTAAAAAGTTTCTGGAAGTGAGTGATAACTATTTTTTAGAGTCACTTGACTCATATTAACCCTATAAACATAGCAATCAGGCTTGCAATGAGAATGGAAACAGATGGTCTGGGAGTTTTCTCAGGTGGATAAGCTTGATGTGGCTGATTCAAGGGGGGGTGTAGATAAGAATAAGGGCTTTCCAAGCTGATGGGTGTGAATTGAATGCTGGCTCCTCTGCTCCTCAGCAGTGTCACCTTGGGGAAATTATTCTGCCCTCTAAGATGCATTACTTATCTGAGAAATGGGGATATTAATTTCCAAGATTACTGTAAGCATGTCAAGAAATATATTAGAACTATTTTACATTATACACATGAAGTGTGTAATATGACAGCTATTAAATGTATTTCTTTTGCACCACTAGGTTAAAAATTTAGACAACGTATCTGCACTTACATCTTAAAGTTTATATTGTTAAGTTTTGGGACACTGCCAACCTGATGGGATTATAATATGCAGAAGGACTCATTTGCAGTGCCAAGCCAGCAACATCAGAGAATTACAAGATTGGGATTAAGTATCAGAGAACCTGGCTGCCACACTTCGTGCATTTTCGTGAAGCCCAACTAGACGGGCAAAGAGCCCGTCTTGGAGCTCTCCTTTCCGTGTCCAGACTGGAAAAAGGGACGCTGGAGCCATCAGTCCCCAGCAGCAGTTGGAGTCTTTTCTTTTGCCTCGCCACTCTCCCCACCCACTTATGGAAACTGCTAATTTTACATCATTACTTTCTGGGTTTTTCTTCAGTTTTTCAAATGTTTTCTAATTTTTCAGATTGCATAATTTCTTTAAACATTCAACTCCAGGGCATGCTAATTACATAGTTTGATTGTGTCAAAAACTTTATTCTTAAATATGCAGAGGTTATGTAATTTATCATAATCTCTTGCCACTCTGATTAGTGTATTCGAAACGCTGTGTGGAAGAGACTGTACTGTCTTTCCTTTGCTCCGTCTTGATAAGAAATGAGCTAATGTAAGAATTCTTCTCATCGTGAACTTCCATTTTCTTTGATTCTGAAATATGTTTTTTAAACAAGGCTTGCAAACAGCTCTTCACCTGTTGGGCCTAGGATTATTTAAGTAGTCCTGAAAGAAAAGAAAGAAAAAATTCCCTTGATCTTCTGTGAGCTCTCGGAGTGATGGTGGAGCAGTGACAAGTTTTGGGGAGCTGAAGTTGTTTACTGAATGGTTTGCAAGTCAGTTTTGAGTGTTTATACTACTTTCATCATTTTATCTCTGTAAAGTGATCCTATATTTATGAACAATCTGCATCTAATAGTAAAAACACTCTTTGGTTTTTATTAAAAGTAGATTAGTCAGTCTACCCTTTGCCATTTGAATGACAGTATTTCAAATGATTAAATGTCAAGTTCATGAAATTTTCCTAATTTAACCATAGGCTGGGATTAAAATGAAAAGATTGTGAATTTACTTGGTTAAGGGAAATCATGATAAATAAACACATAGTATTTTAAAAAAATGGTTACATTCTTTATAAATAAGTAACTCTCTCAGAGGAGTCATTTTGGTACATCTAGACAGAGAACTGTCACAGCACATTTTGTTTTATTTTCTTTTATTTTTTAAAAAAGATTTTATTAATTTAATTTTAGAGAGAGGGGAAGGAAGGGAGAAAGAGAGGGAGGGAAACATTGGTGTTTGAGAGAAACATCGCTTGGTTGCCTCTGGCACAGGCCTGCAGCTCAGACACGAACCCTGACCAGGAATCGAACTGGTGACCTTTCTCTTTGTGGCACGAAGCCCCACTGACTGGACTACACCAGTCAGGGCACAGTGCATTTTCCATTGTTTTGGAGGACAATATTGGGAGTCTCATACAAATTTTCCAAAGCACATTGTTTTTGCTTAAAGGCACACTGTTGGGTCAGTGGTGGGATGAAATCAGACAACCAGCAGGAGAATAGCAGTCACTGGAATAATGAGATACTGCACTGTGGGTCTCCACGGCAACCAGGACCCCAGTTGATCTTCCCCTCCTCCTGCTCCATGCAGAGCCAAGTCTCCCCCAGCTTGAGAAACACACGTCCTAGTTCCACTTCAAATTGTCCCAAGGATCCCACTTCACAAAACAGTACCAATGACATTAGTCACATCTAAATTTCTAACACTTTTATTAAGAAATGTTTCTCTAATAAAAGCTATTATTTTGCTTTTAAAAAAGACACATTTAGAATGAACCCAGAGGAGGAAAAGATATTTCATGCTACATTTACAATTCATTAAGCTTCCCAGCATTCTTTGTTCTGGATGTTAGTTGAGTTGCTTTCCAGTAGAGTTCTGGGGGCAGTACTGTCCACTCTTCCTTGCGGAGGGTGAGGTGCATGAGGGAGGTGCTGTTGGTTTAGACAGCCAGTCTCTGTCACTTACTGGTTGTGATGCATGCACAACTTCCTAACTCTCACTGTGCTTTGTTTCCCCATCTGTACAGGAGGGTAATAAATTAACTCATGGCGCCATTTGTCGGGATCAAATAGATATTTATAATATATATTGGCAGGCCTTATCATAGCATTTAATAATATTTGCTATTATTATAATTATTCTTTACCTGAAATAATATATTTCTCTTCTTAGTTTCAATATCTTATCTAGCAAGCTCAAGAGAATATTTCAGGCTTACTTCATTCTACCCCTTGTTTTTAACTACATTGTAGAGTGTATGAATGTAGACACATTTCTTCAGAGATGTTCGTGGCTCTAGATCCAGGCTGTACCCTTGTAAAGCATTTGAGTGAATGAAAAGATTTAGACTGACTTTGGCCTTCTTGGCAGTTGTAACCACGGGAGATAACTGGTCCTAGACAAGTCAGTTATACTATAGTCGAGAGTCAAGTAGTGGACAGACTGGTGGTCAGATTTCCGCCCTGCTGCTGCCAGGGGGTGAGCTGAGTTGTCCAGGAGAAGGAGTTTTACTTCACTGAGGCCCTTTAAAGCATCTTTAAAGTGAGGCTAATAATAGTTCACAGGAGTATTTCAGTATTAGATATAACATATGTACGGCACAGAGTCAAGTGCCTAATCCTCAGTGGGCATGCTCACAAACGGTAGCTCTTAGTGTTATCATTCCTGCTAATACTATAATTATTTAACCCTTCTTTGAAATTTGTTTCAGTGTGGCAGTCAGGCTCCTGATGCATAATAAGCACCCTGTTCCACGGGGCACGGATGGAAATAAGCATTCAGTATGTAATTTCCTTTTCTTTGTTTCTGCGGCATGGTAGTGCTAATAATGGAGTAGTACAGATTTTGTATTGCCAAATAATGCAACAGTAAGTGCTGGAGACAGAAAAAAGTGCTACGGACGCATGATTTCATTAACTCATTTTCCAGTCTAGGCACAGAGACAGATACTGAGTAAGAAAGCACATTATAATATAAAATAAAGAAAACACACTTAGAACTTTTTGTGAAAATTTATGTAAAATATTTAAGATATAAACCATCTCTTAGAAAAGACGGGTTCACGGAAGAATCGATGTGTTACCTGTGTGGGAGGCACTAACTCCAACTCTGCCGCCGACTCGGAGTTCAGCGCACTTTTCCCGCCGCTCAGCTCTGGTTGAGACCTGTGCTCTGAGGACCTGCACAGGACCAGTGAAGGCAGCTAATGAACACCAAGAAGCAGATTTAGCTAGAAACCCAGCCGAGAAACCTAGGTAACTGGGATCATTGAGAGCCATGGGAACAAAGCTCTCGCCAGGATTTTGATAAAAAAGGTAACTTTTATATGTTTTTATTATAATGACCATCTTTGGGATTTAAGTGGCTGTGATGTGCTAAGTGTTATTGCCTATGATTTAGAATTCAGTCCAATTATGTGCAAAAAGTAAATGAATGCAATGCCACTCCTCTAACAAAGTTCTGCTTTATTAAAAAGGATTATTTTGAGGGCAGGAGAGATTTCCACAAAGCCTCTCAGGCATGATGTAATCCTCATACGGAACATAAAATGTCATAACTAGTGGAGGTGAGTGAGGGGCAAAAGGGGACTAAAACAGGCTGTCCTTTAGGAAGATTTAAAAATATGGCAAAATTCAGGAAGCCAGTTTTTCTCATGGCCTCCCAGGATTACCCTTAAATAGTAAATTAACTGATAGTGATGATGAAGAAAGTCAGAAAAGGTTACCTGTGCACCCAGAAACCTCTAATTTAACTGTCATTCCTGTCACATATTGAACATGCGCATCGGCAGACACATGCATGTACCTATTTTGATCAGCTCGATTGCACATTCATAATATTATAAACAAATATTGAATATTGAATTATGAATATTAGCAGGTTTTTGACAGTTTAGATGAAATAATTTAGTTTTAGAAGCCACAGTAATTAAAATCGATATATAAGGAGTTATACGTGGCACCAAGTATTTGGATTGACTTAACTCATTGGCTATTTCAGTACATGAGAGGAAAAACCTACACAATTGACACATAAATGGTTATTTCTTGATTTAAAATATCTTACCACAACAGTTCTTTTGAGCCAGTTCTAGATGAGCATGATTTTCTCTCTGCCATTGGATGGCCCTTGTGATCGCCATGAAACTTAACATCATCCCATTTTTCCAGTTGTGTTTGAATGTCTAGTGAGGAGACAGGAAGGGGGTGAGGGAGACGGGGGGAATATGAGGAGCAGAGACAAAAAGAGAGATTGGTTAAGATTGAGAAGTGTCATACTAGTGAACTTTACTCAACTGATGTTTTACTCAAACCCTAAGACCATTTCATTAAGGTCACGTGAAAATTAAAGCATGTGCAGCAAAATAAAAATGAAACCTATTAAAGAAATTAGATTGCTTTTACAGTCAAACAATCAGGTTGTTTTGCCTGAATTTATTTCAAGAGCTGTGTGCATTCTGAATTCTGTGCATGAGTCCATGGACTCTCATGGGAATGACCTTGTGGAGTACTGTATCCTATCGACCTCCATGTAAGGCAGTGGCTGGGAGGCACTGCTGGCAGGTCTCTAGACAGAAATTCTGTTTAAAGAGGATCCCTGTTAAAAGGAGGTGAGAATAAACTAGAACACCTTTCACAGCTTTTGTACAGACTGCTTAATTTCTTGCCAAGGAGGGAATTAACAAAGGGGATGGAGAGAAAGGAGGCAATGGAGAAAGCCAAGAGAAAGCCAGCACCGTTTTCTCCTTGTGGCTTCATCCTTATACAGATGAAGAACCTGGAGGGTCCTTTCTCGTTAACAAGCGTGTGACTGTAAATAAACCGTTGAGACAATCTTGGGGTCCATTTTTTTCCTTACAAAAAGATAGGTTTGCCATTAGTGTCCTCCAAAGTTCTCTAAATATTATTATAACTTCTTATAGAAAAATTTTCTCAAAAGCAGAGAAATTTAAGTTTCTTTATATTGATAGTGTGTTATATTGTAATGTGTTTAATAATATATTTTTATATAAATGTATAAATTTCATTTACTCATTTGTGTAGTTGAATAAACCTTGAACACATGGATGGTGAGGAAGTACTAGAGAGTTATAAAGTTTTCCTCAAAGAGACAGGCCTCAAAGCGGGGTAGGGTGGGAGAGAAGGGATCCTGGTATGCAGCTGGTGTGAAATGCATATTGTTCTGCTCGCTTCCTCTAGGACCTGTCTCTGGGTGACGTCATCTACATCCGTAAGTGTGATATCCATTCCTAGGCTTCAGACGTTCAGATCTCCATTTCCTGCTCAGCTCTCTCTCCTGAGTTCTACAAGTATACATTTAAGAGGGACATTTCCACAGAGAAGTCCCACAGTTTCCTCAAATAAAAAATAGGTTTACAGTTGCGAGCTTGCAAAACACGGAGTTTCTTCTTCTTATTATTTATTAATTATTGTATTATTTTCCATAAGAACAACTCTAAACCTACTTTTGCCCCACCCTGTACAAAAGGCTCAAAACTGAACTCAATGGTTTCCACCTTGTCTTTCTCCCTCCCTCCTTCCCCTCTTGTATCCTCATCACAGAGTTTGGCACATTCTAGATGTCTTCCTTGCTGGCAAACACACGTCTTCTCAGTCCACAAGTCCTGTGTTAATTTTTCTAAATGTGTCTTCCTCTAATCATCCTCTCCGTCACGATCTTAGTTGTTTGTATTGGTCTTTATATTCCCACTCCTTTCTATATACACCCACCAGATAAAAGTTTTTTTTTTTAAGGTAGAATCTGTTGATGTCACTCTCATGTGGAAAACCCTTCAACCCTGCCAAACTCAAGGCCATGGCTTCCGAGAACTCCCATTATCTTGACCTCCAGAGATTCTCAGACTTATTTTTCACTATTTGAATCCTATTACAATACTTGTATTTGCTTGAAATGGTATAATTTTTTTTGTGCTTGTCTATTTGTGTGTGAATCCCTTTCTCTTCTGCATCAAAAAGATGCCCTGTCCCTTCCTCCCCACCTCTCTCTGATCTGTATTTTTTCATCTGGAAAATTCCCATTCATCTCTCCAGAGTCTGCTCACACAGCACCTCCTACAAGACACCTTCTACAACCCTCTGGCAGGGTCAGGGACTCCATGAAGGTGCTCTTGTGGGAAGAACCTGGGTTTCTCTTTATTGCAACATACACAGTAGCTCCCCTTATCTGTGAGGGATACTTTCCAACACGCTCAGTGGATGCTGAAACTGTGGGTGGTACTGAACCCTATATATACCATATTTTTTCCTATACATACACACCTAAGATAAAGTTTAATTTAAAAATTAGGCAATGTTATTGATAGAAGATTCATTCTTACCATAGGACGTTGCAACCTCAGCATATGATTTTTTTTTCTTTCCTTATTAAATTGAGCACTTTCACCTTTTCACTTCAAGGAAGAACTTAACGAATTCCTTTTGGCATCTCCGAATTGCCAGCATCACTCTCTTGCCCTTCAGGGCCATTATTAAGGAAGCACTGCAGGATCACCACAGTTAATCTGGTCACTGAGACAGCTACTAAGTGACGAAAGGGCAGGTAGCGTACACAGTGTGGAGATGCTGCACACAGGGGTGATCACATCCTGGGTGGGATGTGGCCAGGCAGCTTGAGACTTCATCATGCTACTCAGAATGGTACACCATTTAAAACTTATAAATTGTTTACTTCTGAAATTTTCCATTCAGCATTTTCAGGCAGCAGGTAACTGAAGCTTCAGAAAGTTGAAGTGCAAACACAGGGGACTCCTGCAGTGCACATTTAATTATACTCACTGAATCTTTCTTCTCTCTCCCAGCTAGACTGGAAGCTTACTAAAAAAGAATATAAACTTAACTGAGGCAGAGAGCTTATATTATTTATCCTTGTATTTCTAGCATATAGTATGGAACACAGTAGGTATGCAGAGAAACATTTACTGAACAAATGAATAAATTAATTCATGATCATCTAACATGTACACATCACAGTGCAAAGAGATTTCACATATATATCTCCTTTAATATTTGCCACCTTGTGGATAAGTTACTAATATACTAATTTTATGAATATTTACCCATGTACATATGTATACACATGCACACCAGTCAGTCACAGCCTGGAGAAAAAAGAGTTACCTTCAGCTTTCTAAAATACTCGCCACCATTATTTCTCCTGAGAAGGAAGAGCTTAATATGACTAGTTCCACGAGCTGAGGGTAAGTCTTGTTTCTCAGGAAGACGTACAGTGGATGCTAGTATGGACTTTGAAGTTAATTAGAGCTAGCCTCAAATCCCAGCTCTTCTTCACACGAACTGAGCTCTTGGGGAAATTATTTAAATTTGAAATCTTCATTTCTCACTTCCTTTCAAAGAGTTGGGAATGAATTAAAGGACTGATATATATAAAACATGTAACACAGTCCTGGACATCATAAGCCATCACCAAATGGGAGCTGGGATTGTAGTGAATGTATCTTCACACCTATTACAAGTTACCATTCCATCTGGCTGTTCCTGGACTTTGTGTTACAGTTGTCTGTCTGTCTGTCTGTCTGTCTCTGTCTGTCGACTGGCTCTCCTCCTTTAGACTGAATGCTCCTAGAGAGCAACACTCATGTCTGATTTTACCTGTAACTCCAGTGCCTAGTGTGGTGTCTGCCACCTGTCAGGAACTCAGTGCATGTGGGTTGAATAAATATATGAGCCACTCCCCATCAGTTACTCAAAGTGGAGCCCCCAACTGTCATTTAATTCAAGCACAAAAGAAGTGTGTCCTGCCCAGTTTTCTACATGGAATTAACCCTTCCTGCTCCTTTGCCCATGGTTTTAATGTCCCTTGTGGAACTTGTTCTCAAGGCAAGGGAGAGCAGCAACGGACACTAGCTACTGCCTCACCTAAATCTAAGGATGACGTCTCCGGGCCTCGAGGAGGCTGGCCTCTCTGCTCAGCATCCACACCGATGAGATCAGATCCATCAGCCTTCTTCTTGAGGGATGAGGTTTTCGACGAGGCCTCCAACCTCTTGACTTTGGTTTGGGTTTGCGAGACGGGTTCACTCAGGTCCAGGAGATCTAAGCCTGTGGTCAACACTATCAGAGACCAAAGAGGTTAAGATTAGCCCAGCCAGAGCTCTGAAGTTATTCTTTAAAACTAGGTTTCGGTTGGGTACAGAAGGAATTTGTGTTTGTGGTGTAGGTTGGAAGCACCAAATTAAGTTAGGTCGTCATTGATTTGTGAGGACAGTTTGTGTTTACACGGGGAAGTTGGCTGCCTGTCCTTTTTCTGCACGGTACAAATCTGCAGGGCAGGATTTAGATCAGCCTCACCAGTGATGAAGGCTTGGATGAAATTAAAACGATAAAATTGAATCTGAGTTCAGGTACTATTTACTTTACTGTTTTGCTTTATTTACAGAGAGGTTTATGTTAGAATGCAGTTTTTTTCAAAGAAGATTCAATCTATCATTTTCAGGGATATGCTTGTGAAACAGTTATGAGGATGATTTGGTAAAGTTTCTGCATGCCTTTGTGTTTTAATTTCAAACCACGCAAGTAAACATCATATAATGGAATGCTGTTAATTACCTTTTATCTAACTAAGTGGTTTAATCAGAAAATGGCTTGCTGTTTGGGCTGAACTAGAAAGGTGTTTTATAATACACAGTTGATGAATGGGTACACATGGTAATGTCTTTGCTGCTTAATATGCAAGTTTAAATTTCAATGTAGCAAAATCAAAAAAGTCTAATGAGACTTTTACCTCCTAGCAGGTTGATTACATTGTATTAAATACTATGATGTAGATGGAAGTAGTAATTTGTTCAAATGCAAACCAGGCAAATGAGAATTAAAAAGGCAAGCTTTGAAACTCTTCATTCTTCTTGCTCTTACAGTGCAAGTAACCAGTGTTTGACTAGCTCATTGTGAGAGGCTGGCCAGGACCTCTTCACCCAGCTAGCTCAGAAACACCATCAAAGTGACAACAAAACCCCTTGTGTTAACCCCTCCTGGCACTGTCTACAGGGACTGCACCACTCCTTCTTTTGATCTACCAACTTTTCCTCTTGGTGAGGAACAGATTTTAGTTGATGTCTCAACTCTCTTCCATCTGCTTCCCCCTTGCACTGAAAGCAGGGTCAGGGTTCTACTGAGCTCACAACCCGAGTTCCTTTAGTACTGCACTGTTCTTGTGAGCTCAGCATCCCTATGGGATCCTTAAGATAGTGTGTCATGCTTTCCTCTCCATGATCTTGTCTTCTGATTTCAATTATAAATCACAGTGGCTGCATGTTGATGATGAAGTGGAAAGACCTGCCTATATCACTGTTTACTTGTGTGACTTGGAATAAGTTTCTTGACTTCTCTGAGTTTTAGTTTCCTCATCTGAAAAATGTGGAATTACTATGCTATCTTTTAAGTCTGATACAGAGATACAATTTTCTGATTAGTAAATCAAACGTATACAATGTCATGCATACAATAAGTACTCGATAAATGTTTTTTCCATTCTTTGGTGACCAATTTGTGATGCTTTTCTTTCCTTTTCCTTTCAGTTCTTCTACTTTCTCCTCTTATAATCTCTTCCTATTTTTCTTGGTCCTTTCTATTTCAGGCAAGAATCAGCTCCACACACTGACAGAAAGAGGAAACACCACTGGGAATAAAACGGAGGATGGGACAAAGATAGGGCTCTACAGAAGATGTTATAAAGTCAGTTTATCACAAGATGGCCTGAAAGTGTCAGCTCGTCGCATCTGAGTCTTCCTGAGGAGACGGGAGCACTTCCCAACGCTGGGCTGCACTGGGCTGCTCTGAGCTGCTCTGAGATCCGAGGACTGTTTTGTGGCTAACGAGTACTTGAATGTGGGGGGAAAGAAGTGGCGTTCAGAGCGAAGGCACCTGGCTTGATAGCTATAATTTAAGCATGGTACGCAGCCGAGATAGGCTAGGTCGCCACACATTTCCTGTCCTTTAAATGTTTAAACAAAAGTTTCCTAGCCACTGTATGTCAGTAGTGATCCTAGGCCCACTGTGATTTCTTTATAATAGAGGGAAGAAAGAGGAAAACCGTCTCTGAAAGGCCATGTAAGTCCTTTTTATTCATTGTTGAAAACAATTAGGAATTAGTCACTTGTTCCCACTCTGCTTTAAGAAGCAAATTATATAGAACTTATCTACTATTATATAGGAAGTATTTTTGTTACAAATAATAACAGGTAAGTAGTCATTTAATTCTGTAATGCTTCTCACTATTCAGAATAAATGGATTACTATAGAGTGAATTGTGGATTCAAACTTGGCTCAGTAACATTCTTTCCTCCTTCAAACTGTCCTCAGCACTTCCGGTGTTTGTTCTGAGCTCTCACTCCTTTGTTTTTTCCCAGCAAATGTAAAACACATGCTTGGCACCCACAAAAGGCCCAACTTGTTACCCAGGTGATGAAGGGGGTGGCACAAAGGTTGTATAGAAAGCTTTGGAGCCGGAGAATCCCCAGGGACCACAGTTTCAAAAGCACAGAAGGATGGGTGCTGTCTTTTACCGTTTGGAGGAAGACAAATCACATTTTAGTGTGTGCGTGTGTGCATGTGTGTGTGTATGTGTGTGTGTGTGCACGCACATATGTGTACCTAAGAATTAAAAATAAAGGGTCTCACTGTTCCACATGGGCTTCAAAGATAACGCTGCTTGCCACAGATGAGGGTGTCTGCTCTGCTGATGTTCTTAACCCAATTTAAAAGATTCTCTTAGCCATATGAAGGTTTGGGTTCTAGAATATGTGTGTTTAAATTAAGATAACCGCCTCTCATAGTGGGACGTGAAAATGTACGTGTCCAAAAGTGGTGGTGGTGGTGGTGGTGGTGGTGGTGTGTGCGTGTGAGAGAGAGAGAGAGAGAGTGTGTGTGTGTTAGTTTATGCTGTTGGCTTCTTTGGAGATGGAGGAAGGGACCACTGGCCAAGGAGTTCCGAATACCCTATAGAAGCCTGGAAAAGGCAAGGAAGTGAATTCTCCTTCAGAGCCTCCATGCAGGACACAGCCCTGCCGACACCTTGATTTTAGGCCTGCTGACTTCCAGAACCGTAGGATAATAAATCTGTGTTGTTTCAAGCCACTCAACTTGTGGCCATTTGTTGCAGCAAAAACAGGAAACTAACATACCATGTAGGACGGTGTCCATAGGAGGATTCAAACACAGGCCCCTCCCTGCCAAGTGCTCTTGACCACTCCTCTCTAGACTTGACCTGAACCACCCACAATGAGCTGACTCTATTGATGTGGCTTTGATTACTGTTTGTTTGGATCCCGATATTTTGGCAGGTTGGGCTGTCTGAGGCATAGCTTAGTACTTGGAGATTTCAGAAATGTTTTTTTTTTGGATAACCTATTTTCATTGGGTGAAATTTCCTGAAGATAGAATACGTAAGTATTTGTTTCCATCTATTTCAAGGATGCCTGATTGAGGATCACCCCCTACTGAACTGGAGGGCTCCCTGCGGGCACTGAAGGTGTTTGTGCATTCTGGATTACCCGAGCCCTGGAAGGTGAGGCTGCTCACAGCAGAACCTGTAAGGAAGCCCTGATTTGATGCTTTGGTGGTAAACACAGTGCTATGAACTGTGAGGATGGAAACAGAGGATGAATCTTGGGACAAGCCTGACTGGTGCAGTCACAGAACGTGCCACAAGGAGCTTGTAGGATCTCTGTTCTGTTTTCTAAGCTACCCTAGCAACCAGAAAACATCGTATTCTGTAATGTAGCGGCTGCAAAGCAAAGTCCTTTCAGGAAGGAGTTTGCCAATGATGTGAAATAAATAAATTAGACTTAAATAATTAAACCAACTTTTGCCTTTTTACTGGAATATGTAATTAATGCTGCTTCCCACATTTCTAAGTCTTCACCAGAGGCCTGCCATTTGGCTCATGGCTACTTGGGCTTCATAAATGTGCATTTTGTGAATATTACACTAAGTTTGCAGTTAAGGTGTTAAGTTAGGTGGCTGTGGTGGAATTGTGAACTTTGTTAAGAGTGCTTCTTCCCGTATATACAGGGATCTCTTATACAGGTACTGTGCATGGGGCCCCTATCAAGAAGTGAGATTATTATTTTTTAAACCATAAAAAGTCTTTGTACAGTAACTTTCCACCTAATGGCTCAAGTTACAATTCTTTGGATACAATTCTTTTAGATTATGTAGGTTGGTAAATGCAAACCAAAAGCCCTATTTTTCTTGTGTTTTAGAAAAGAGTCTTTCCTATACTCTGACATATATTAGATTTTCTTTGGAGAATACAGACAATAAGTTATTATTGCAAGTTTTATAATAATTATTTGTCCTATGATATAATCACTATCTTAAAATATCCATTGAGTTGTTACTTTCAGAACATTTGGTATATGCATCTGTGTATAATATCTATTTATTTGCCTTTTTAAAATCAAGGATATTAGCAATGATATTGAGCTACCTATCACCTATGAATATAGTGGGAGAAGGTCAATGAATTAGCTATATACTAGATTACAAATGAATTAAAGATAATTTAGGATGTTAATAGCAAAAAAAGATCAGCTTGAAGTTATCATCATTGGATGACAAGAAGTTACTTCTAGTGCAAAAAGCAAGCAGAAAGTAAAAAAGATAATTGAAATACTGAAGACAAAATGATCATTTAAAACTCTCTCGAGGTAGAAGATCGATATGTTCTTTTAGGGTTAGTAGAAATAAATCTCATCATTTAACTGACCTTTGGAAGAGATAAATATTTCTTTACTTTGTGTTAATTTATATAAGAACTATATTCCTTAAACACTTAAGTAAATGTCAAGATGGCAGCACACTGTCTTTAATTTTTCGTTGGAAGAAAATACCCAGTAAAAATGCCTCTCTTTTTAACATAAGGTTCTTCAAAGTTCAGCTTGATTGACTTGGTACAAACCTGAAGCAGGATTTTTTCTATATTTTAGTCCAAGATTATTTAATATGCATTGTAAGCGTGAAGATATACATAATGCCTGGTATGCCATAGAGAACATTCAATGACTATTCTGATTTCTCAATGTGATTTCATACTCTTCTATAAAATGACAGTGGTTTACTGAAAATTACTATTTTGTTAAAAATTTGGATAGTAAATGATAACTCTATCTTCTTCCTAGAATCTTTAACTATAAAATTATTGGAACAAATTAGAATTCTTTCCAAGGCGTTTGAATGCTACAACATTTCCTTTTCAAAGATGTGTAATAATGTGATGTTGCATATTGACATATAAATTGTGGGCTTTGTAATAATTAAAAATAACTATATTTCTTAGGTATTAAAGCATATAGTGTTGGCCTGGCCAGGTGGCTCAGGTGGCTGGAGAATCGTCACATGCACCGAAAGTTTGCGGGTTTGACCGCCAGCTGAGGCACATATGTGAGCCAATGGATCAATGTTTCTCTCTCTCTCTCTCTGAAAAATCAATAAACATATCTCCGGATGAGAATTAAAAAAAATAGTGTTTCTGCCCTAAGATATACTTTTAAGATGAAAAATCACTATAACAGAAGAATCTTCCTTCAGGATAAATATCTGTGTGACCCAGATGTATTGAATGCTGAAAGTGAGAAAGGAAAAATGACCCCCCACTTTGAAGGGTGTTATGGACTGAATTGTGTCCCCTCAGAAAAACCTCATCTATTGAAGCCTTAACCCCCAGTACCTCAGAATATGACTTCATTTGGCAAGAGGGTCATTAGAGATATAATCAGTTGAGTCATATCAGAGTAGGAAGCCTTATAAAAAAGGGAGATTTGGAGACGTACACACGGGAAGGATGTCAGGTGAAGACTGGAGTTATGCTGCTGCAAGTTAAGGAACTACCAGAAACTACAAGAGAGGCCTAGAATAGATCCTTCCCAAGCACTTTCAGAGGGAGAATGGCCCTACTGACCTTGATTTTGTACTTCTAGGTTCCAGAATTGTGAGAGAATAAATTTCTGTTGTTTCATCTGTGCAGTTTGTGACACTTTGCCATGGCAGGCCTAGGAACCAATACAGAGTCAATACTGTGGGTTTGGGGATTGCAAGAAATTATACATACTTTTAATTTTTTCCTCCAATATTTCACCTGTCTCTCTTTTATATGTTAGAAAAACCAACGTGAAAGTAGCTCTTGAGTCAAATATCATGTTGCTCTGTCTGGTGGGCTCTTCCTAAGTGGCTCAGTTTTAGCATTAGTTAGAACTGGCAAGTGCAGAGGATACTGGAATCAAGACCTGAGAATTCTACGCTTGACAGCTTTTCTGAGAACAGCGAGACTTCTCAGTGCACCCAGTTCTCGGGGAGTTCCCTACGGTTACAAACACAAGGCTCCTCTGCATTCTTCTGGGGGTAGCTTTCCGGGTTTGGAGGGGGAGAAATCCTTTCACAGATAAGGAGGATGAATCTGATCTGACAGCATGTGAATTTACTTAATTTCCTGCCTGGAATGTAACAAGCACAATTTTATTTGCTTGATTACTCAAAGTGATAGCTGAGTTCAGAAAATGATTGCATTGGTGTGATGTACAGAAAACTAATGCGTTTAAAAAGGGAAGTGTTGGAGGTACTGTTTTTCAGCTGATGGCTGAAAGAAAGATAGTACCTGATAGAGCTCACATGGTGCTCAGCACTTGCCTAGGTTGCTTCCTGTAATTTTCCCAAGTAGCCTATGAGATCTAGATCTTACTATCACTAGATAGATTAGGGAACAGACTTAATTTAGTTAAGCAACTTGCCCAAAGACACAGCTGCTAAGTGGCAGAGCTGAGGTTTGAAATCATAAACTTTGACCCCAGAGACTGTAGACTACACTGCCATATCAAGTGCCTCTCTCTTACGTTAATTACTCTTGTTGGAATTTTAAGCACTCTTTAAAAATCATAATTTCCTTCATCTGTGATTTTCTTCACTTAAAAGTATAATGAAAGTACTCTAGGCAACAGCGAGCTGAGGACACGATGGGGAAATGGAACTAATTTAACAAGATGGTATGTGATTATCATATTCTTTCCCCATTAAATTCTCTCCTGCAATCCAACAAACCTTTACTCTCTGATTCTGCACATCATTTTTTCATTCCTATTTGAACAACATGCCTTTGAATATGAATGTTGACTGAAGGAGATCAATGCAGAAAGGCTGCCCCTGATACAGAAGGGGAAAATTAGCTTTTGAGGCAAATCTTATGTTGCTCCCCCAGGGTGGGCCCTACCTAAGTGACTTAGTTTTAGTATCTGTGAGAACTGGAAAGTGCAGAGGGCACTGGAGAAAGGGTGACTCATACCTGTGGCATCCTACAATGCCCATTGGGTGAATACTGGTTAGTGCCTGGCAGATGATCGTTCCTGGTTGAGTAGGCTTAATTTCAGGAGAACGTACAAACAAACTGTTGTAAGAGGGAGCAAGTGACTCATTTACATGACTGAAAATGAAATCGGTGTACAATATCCCAAGTCTCTGGGACATTTTAATTGTCATTTCAATCCACCTGAAGGGGCTGCTTATATTTTTATATTACTTGACTTTCATTTGTCATATAAAGAATTTCCAGCCAGAACTTGGAAGATGTTACTTTGAAATAGATGCTTTTGTTTTAAAGGTTTCCTAACATGATGTGACTTGAGATGAGGTGTAAATATGAAAATATATGCATAGAAAAATGATTCATTGCTAATAGTGGCATGCTAATGTTCAGCACATTTGGTTGCGTACTATGTATCACAGTTTCTTATAGTATAATGCACAGTGATTTATTGGCTTAGGGTGAATGGTGTATGTTCTAAAGTTTAAGTTGGTTGTAAACATTGTCCTCCACTTAAAATGAATTATGGAAAAGAAACATCTATTTTACTAGAGTGAAAATTAACTCTACTTGAGAATCAGTTACAAGTGAAAGAATTACCAGCTGTGTTGGACGTTACTGGCCTTGCTATTGCCTCCGATTTGGTTTCACAGAGAAAGTCATCGATGGAGGGACTCAGGAGGGGTCTGCTTTCTTGCTGTTCATTCACCAGCTGAGAACAAATGAACACAGGTGTCAAAGGGCATGTTAAACTGCAGAATCAGACAAGTTAAAATGCAGCCTTGCAACAAAATGAGAATAGCAAGCCTACCAAAAAATAAATAAACCAATAAATAATGGGGTAGGGACAAGAAAGAAAAAAAAATACCAGGGATAGGGAATGAGCCTTTTAGCGCTGTCAATATTTTTGATGCAGCCAACTTCAATTTTTAAAGCTCAAGCCTTTGTTCCTTCTCCTAGAACAGTTTTAGAATTATTCTCAATTTCAATATGAAGAAAGTGATGGCTATTGAATCACTGTTCCTAAGGGCCAATCTCACTCTTCACTCGGACAATAAGCTCCTACCGAGACCTGGAACAGTGGCTTCAGACTTTGAGGTGACACATTCTGGTCAGGACTGGTCAGTCAGTGTTTTGTGGTAACAGCACACACACAGATCTGTGTGTGTTGGGGGGTGGTATTCTTTCTCCCCCTCTTAAAAAGCTCAAGTCACCTACTGGCACACACCCTTCCTTACATTTCCTTGGAATGCTTCTGTAGTGCATAACAAATATTATTTAAAAAAAGTACAAAATATTGTTGTATTAACTGTCCTGTCATATGAACTACATATCCAGTAGCTTTGTCTGTGAAAATCCATATATAAAACAGATGCCTGTGAATTCAGTTATATTTTCCCACTGGCTTATTCTCTAATTTCAGAAACCTTTCAGTTTGATTTTTCGAGGGTCTCTGTTTGTTTACTACCGTCTGTCTATTTACTACCAGTTCTTCTGCACCTCTTGAATCCAGACTTCCTTAAGTTCTGCTTCTGTGGTTAAGAGAAAAAATAGACTTATGATGCAAAAGTGGTTAATCCCTAAATTAACTTTCAATTTCAGGAGATTTTATATTAGCCTTTCTTAAAATAGGCATAACCATCTAGTTTTATACATATTATAAAAAAGGTGTGTCTGAAATATCTAGATTTTTAAAATACTTCTTTGCAAGGCTGTATTTTAAGAGACATAGAAAATAACAAATGAAGTGTTTTTGGAACATTACCAAATCAAAATATTTTATGCGACTCTACTCATTTTCACTCCATTATTTCTTTAATAGAGTGTCAGTGGTATTACAGTTTAGAGCTTATGGAAGATGGCAAGAGACCTAAAGTTGATGGTAAATGTAAGAAGAAAAAATGCAATGCTATTATTATTACTGAAGGAGGAATATGGAAACATTTAGTGATTATTTGGGACTGAAAACCAAGAGACACATCTGGTACTTATTCCTGTTCATCCTATGATTTAAACATGGAGAAATCTCAGATCTTCTCTAGACTTTAAGGTTTTGATGTAGAGTTAGTAATTTGACTTTCTTGCATATTCATATGTGGATATTATCAAGGAGTAAGCCCTGAGACTACCCATTTCCTTTTAATGTTCAAGTTACAGTGACAGACATTTCTTCAATTATTATAAGTTTAGTCTTACTATGTCTAAAGACTCACAGGTTTTTCGAGGAATCAAATTATCCAAGGTCTGTTTGGGTCTTAGCCTTTTTTTGGGAGGATGCTCCTTTAACCGATGAGTGAAACTCTGAGTGCCTTTAAATTTTGTTTTCTGAACTTGAACAGTCTTGGGAGTCATTCTTCTTATTTATATTAAAATATTTTTTAATGTTGAGAGACTATGAACCTTTTATGTTTCTGGGGTAACAAATATTTGAAGTAAATGCCATGGTCTATTTGAATTTAGGAATGATTTATAATATTGTCTGGCATAAAAGTCAATTTTATTACCTGGAAATGTAATTGAAAGCACTGATATAGAATACAATATACTAGAAAGCGAAGAAAGGGTTAAACATCAGTGATTCTGTGTGCTCTTCTGAATCCATAAAACTCCCTATATACTTTTTCTGAAAATGTGATTAGTTTTCTAGGACCTGTATTTCATTTACAGTTTGTTCATGTAAAGACTTTGTGTATGAAGGTGCTTCCAAAGGATACATACAGTAACATATATTTCTTGGTAGCACTTGCCCTTTTAACCATATATGCTCAGCGTAACGACCCACCTGATGTGGTATTACCAGAGTGGTGCGGTGGTCCTGACTTAGCCACAGGGCTAATCTCTAGGCTGTGTCATTCTCATTTCAAATGAGACTGGGTTCTCCTGTGCTATAAACATTCATGGAAGGTGAAGGTCATCATCAAACATGGCACCATGCTCTACTCAAACAAATTAGTGTAACAAGCTTGCGTGGACTCAGCAGTGTGTTCTGATTACTTGGTCTCTGGTTCTAGGTCTCATAGATCTATTGGCTAAAGAGCATAAGGTACAAAGAGTAAGTATAACAACTGCAACTTTAAAAGTTATATATATGTATGTGCAATGTCACAACTATCTTTTTGATAGACATTATTCCTCTGAAGAAGTCTGATGATAATGATAGATAACTAAAGATAATTTAGTCATTCTCTTAGTAATGATTTCAAGATCAATAATTAATTTAAAGATAAGTTATAGTCCACAAAATCCCCAAGTACTTTTTCTTTACTTTGCATACAATTAAATTCCTTTGTAGAACAGACATAAATTATCTATAGTTTTAGTAGCCCAGGGTGTTAGGTTTCCATACATACTTTTAGTTGTAAACATTGAAAAATGATAGTCTACATTTGATAAAAAGGATTCTAGAAAGTAAGACCTTTGTGCACATAAATATCTAAATGGAAAAAAAGGAAAAAGCACAATTAATTGAGAGGCTTGTCCTTTTAGGCAAGTCTGCTTTATTGAAGGTAATAGGACTTTTTTGGAGTCTCCCACCTCTTCCGCACTTCAGACGAATTTTGTGGAGAAAGCATCTCTAGCATTCTCAGATTTTCTCAACCAAAGAGGAAGTTCTTCAGAGAGACCCTAGGGAGCCCAGGACAAGGCTTAGCTCCTCCAGTCTTCTCCTAATCCTCTGTCTCATAAGGTCTGTGTCTCTTCCACACCTACTGTCTTGTTTCTGACCACATTTCATACCTGGACGATGGAGCTGTTGTCTCTGTCCAATTCCCTTGGCTCTCTTCCCTTAGCTGCTCCTGTGGCTCTCTGCCATAGATACAAATCAGAGGGCATAAACTACTTTCTGAGTCAGAATTTTTCAAGGTGCAGCACAATCTAGCTCTTGGGAAATGCTGGGGCTAGAGTCAGGGATAGTAGTCAGACTCGGAGGTAAAGAAGATAAAGGGCCAGATCTCAGATAGCATGGAAAGGTAATTTGGGAACTGAAACTTTTTTGGTTTTGATTGACATATGGAAGATAAAACAGGAGATACCATAAAGAAATCTTTTTCATAAACTCTGAGGTCAGAGGCTATGGCTTACTCATATTTATATTCTTCACAACTTCAAATAGAATATCTTTGTATAAGGAGGGCTCAAGAAATGGCTACCAAATGGGACATTGACTTTGCAGAAACCGAGGATATAAAAAGATCTATCTTAAACAGTCCAATTTTGAACTGTATCTTCAGTCAGATGAATTTAGGAATCATTATTTTAACCATACTAAGTCCAATTTTATTTTTATTTGTGTAGGCAAGAATAGCTTTTCACATGGCTTCCTGCTCTGCATTTTCAAACAAGTTCATGGTTTTCCTATGGTGATTTGAGAATAAGTAATTCTTTTAGGTCATAAAAAAATTGCAAACTAAGCAGAATCCCCCGAATAGTTCCCCTAAACTTTACTTCCAAGTTGTGTACTATATATTCTCTCATTATTCATTGATAGGATACTGCTTGTCTTTCTCTTAGAATTGCTTCCTTCAGTTTAAAAATACTTTATGAAGTTGCAATATTTCATCCTTTGGGTACAGAGTGCATTGATGTTATAAAAATAGTGAAAGGTGAATCAAAAGGTTTCTTTTTTTTTTTTTAATAACCGAGTTGGAGTAATGGCGATTTTAGTCTAATCAGACTACCATACTGAGTTAAAGTGATCCACTTTGTTAATTGCTAAGGTGTATGTCTCACTTTGTTTACATTTAAATTTTGTATTTCTTATTCCTCTTTGGTTCCCTTCTTAATGTTTAGATAAGTTCAAAGGCCTTTTTAATGGTGATACATCCTTATTTCTCTTCTAGGACCCCATTCTACTACACGTTGGGAACCTTCGGTGCCTGGCAGTGAGTGCCTTCTTACAGCATCTCCACGCTCCCATCCTTTACCCGGTTTTACCTGTTTCCCTCTCACTAGGAGGGACTTCTTTGTGAGTAGAGGCTTTATCCACTTAATTTTTGCAGCTCGGAGTAGCAGTTTAATAAATGTTGACTGATTTTATACAGTTTACTTGAATGGCGTATTGTAGAAAAGAATGATTGCATAGGCATCCTCAATTTTATACTGGGTTTGACCAACTCACAGAGAGGCAAGGGGGCCTCAGAAATGTTTACCAATTTCCTGACCAGTTTTAAACCCCACATCTAGGTCAATTTCCCCCCATTGTCGCATCATTTAAGTGTTTGGAAACCTGGATGTAGCTAAAGGAACATTTCCAAATGCAAGGCTTCTATCAAAAAGGCAGGAATGCAGAGTGGATGCCTAAGGAGAAAAATTGAACTAAAGGCACAGGCCAGCTCCATGACATCCTTGGAAGAAGGGCATAGACCCATGCCAGTGGGAGGCCAGTGACAGTTCAAGACATGACACTACTACCTCAGTCAGGGATTTTAAATCTGAGGTTCAAATCTGGAGATTTTGAGGGAAATCCCTTACATGGTCAATGGACATGAAAACAAAAGGAAACAGAAGATTGGTGAGGACTTGCATGGAGGGGCTCCCTGAGACTCAGAATTCAAACCACTATTGAACCTTTCACTTTCTTTGTAATCATAGGTTGTGAATGAAATATTCAGTCAGATGTCTTCAATTTACTTATGACTTAGACTGGGTTAGTTGATGTGGCTAATATTAGCCATCACAGGACCAAACCAGTTCTTATTTTATATCGGCACTGTGTTTTGTGATGAACAAAATGCAGACAATATCATCCAGATTTAATGAGTTATGGTCTGTTTTTAAACCATCTAAAAATGCATTTGCCTTAGTTCAACTTCAGTTTCTCTAATTTCAGTGTTAAAAATGAAATCATTATATGATCTAAGCTACAGGGGAATACTTAACCAAGGTGAAAGGAGAGTATTTTGCTTTTGAATACTGTCTGTTATTTAAACTCCAGCATATGCCTCTATAGCTGGTTTGTGACTAAAATCTAAGCTTATTTGTCTTTAACCAATATCTTCCTTAGGTGTTTCACTAAAAAAATATACAGCTAAATGGTTTGTGGTAACTTATATCATTGCAAATCAACTTCTAGCTAAAATACATTTTATACGATTAAACAAGGTCTGTAAAAGATAGTAATTCACGATTCCATAACTTTACACTTCAGATTGATGATCTCAAACTGTTGTTTTAGTTTAAAGTAAGTATTCTGTTTTTGTTTTTAAACATTTTAGTACTTAAAGAATAATTTTAACTTATAACATTGAAGCTAGTACATTAAAAACAGCTGAAAATATCTGATATTTGTAATATTGATTAAAAATTTTGTAATAATATACTATGTCTTTTATCTCATTTAAATAATAGAAAAAATTTAGATTGTTTTATTTCTATGTAAATAAAACACAAATATGCTTTTAATAGGTATATCTTGATGCATTTTGAAATGCCTTTATTACTTGTGAAACTGTTGATTCAAAGCATGTGTCACCTGTTATGTAGGTTTCATTTGTAATATTGTAATTAAACTATTTGTTTATGGCTTTATTAGTGTTACCCAAATTTAGAAATCCGTGCAATGCCCATCAAAATTATGACCATATCAAAACTAAGGTAACTGACTAAATCCATTGCAAAGACAAGACAACTAAATCATTATCACAAGTCCCTTAAGTGTTCAGGCTTGGTAGCTTTGTCGGGCTAACTCTGACACTGGAGAGAATTAATTTCTCATGAACTAATAGTACTAATGGTTCTGCCCCACCCCACTTTTTATACAGTGTGTGGGTCTCAGGGGATCTTCTTGTAAAGGACTACCATGTGATAACTTTTAACTCTTTGACTTGATCTAGATCTCAACTGACTACAAATATTTTCCTGACATGGTAGTTGCATTTATACGTGTGAATTTATTTGTGGGAAAATGAACAGGTATTATTCTTCACAACGTGGGAAGTACTAACACTAGGGCAGGCAGGAGAACATACTTAAAGCAATTGTTTCAAGTTAGTAATAGAAGGATATATTTAGTAGCCTTGAGAATACTTTTCCAATCAAGGACATTCCTTTTTTTATTTTTATTAGACACAAACAATTAAATCAATATTAAGGTGTAAGGGATAGGGGCAGATAGAAAAACGAAGGCTGAGTTTGCCTCCCCAAAGCTTCCAAAACAATAGGGATGTGCAACACACAGTGGTAAGACACGGTGCTCTGCAGCAAACAGTCAATGGGATGCACCTTGTTAAAAAAAAGTGCCTGGAGATGTGGTTAAAATGGAAATTTCTTAAGGTCCCTTACGAGAGAAAAATATTTGCTAAAGTCATCTCATTTTCAAAAAGAATACATTTTTCTACAATATAATGAATCTCTGGTACATAGTTTCCCCCTCTGTCCTCACACTGGACTTATTTACCCCATCACAGTCTAGAGCAGTGCTGTTCCATAGAAATACAAAGAGAGCCTGGGAATTTTAAACTTCCTAATAGCCATTTTTTTAAAAAGTGAAAAGAAACAGGTGAAAATAATTTTAACAATACACTTTATTTAGACCAGTATAGCCAAATTATTATCATTTCAAGATGTAATCAATATAAAATTATTAATGTGCTAGTTTATATTATTATTATTTTAAATCTTTTTTAAGGTTTTATTTTAATTATTTTTAGAGAGGAGAAGGGAGGGAGAAAGAGAGGGAGAGAAACGTCAGTTTGTGGTTGCCTCTCACGTGACCCCCACTGGGGACCTGGCCTGCCACCCAATCATGTGCTCTGACTGGGAATTGAACTGGCGACCCTTTGGTTTGCAGCCCACACTCAATCCACTGAGCTACACCAGCCAGGGCTGTATTATTTTTCTTTGGACTGAAGCTTGAAAATCTGGTGTGTATTTTATACTTACAGTACACCTCAGTTTGGGGTGGTTACAAAGTACTCAAGAGCCACGGTGGCTAGTGTCTACTGCATTGGACAGCACAGGTCTTATAGAAACTTTTTCTTCAAAGACTTGCTGATTCCCCTATTTTGTCTTTCCTTCAATCTTTTCATCAATGCACACTTGTTTCCATACTGTTTGACTTACAGTATTAGTCCAGCATGAACTTGAGCTTCTTTGAAGTGCTTGACGTATTGTTTGTTACTACAGACACAAAAGAACCATTCTCAGGGGCTCAGCCATCTCTGAGTTCAGGTCGCCTGGCCAAGTCTTCTGTTTTGTTCAATTTATTCATGTGTTATAAATGACTCCACTGGAATAAGTTTGGCTCTCAAAGTGACTGTAGTAATCACACAATACAAAAAAAATGCTTCAGTGTATTCAGCACTTATAATCTGTTGAATAAGGAGTTATAAAACAAGTTAGGAACTCTGTTTCAAGGACTTAATCTGTATTTTATCCATTGTGATCGTCCCAGGAGAGACAGCAATTAGCTTCAGACATATCTGAAACCTGTCAATGAGCAGCTGGCATCGACATACTAGTGATGAAGATGAGCCAATGTATTCAGCAGTATGTGGCACTATGTCATAGGGGGCTTTACAGAAGACATGGGACAGACATGTTTCAAGATACTCATACATTCACAGGATCACGAGTAAGAATGTGGTATGGTACACGGACGGGATGCTGTGGTTGCCATGAGGAGTACTCACTTTTTCAGATCATTCTGCTGCTTTTTGGCTTGTGCACGCCACTGGTGCATAGCAGGGAGGAAGCCACTTGTGTACAGTGGAAAAAGTATATCAACTAATAAAACTGCATTTGACTGGAAATAATTGTATCACAGCTGTCACTGAATTAACTCCATAAAATTATCAATACAACAGGTGCATTACATGTTATGAATCAGAATTTTGTTTGCTGATTCATAAACTAGCCAGTATGCAACAAGAATATGATGCATCAAAGAAAGCATTATATAATCTTCATGCAATAACTAATACTTCAAAAACAGTTAATGCAACATTAGACAGGGATTAAATAAGGAACTTGGCACACACAAATGTTCTGAATGTGAAAAAATGATAATAATCACAATTTTTTCTAAATTAAAAATAAAAAATATTATTTTGCATTAAATTTTAAATTTCAGCTTAGGTTTGATCATCATTTTGGACATTTGAAAAGGATTACTGGGAAGTACATACCAATGCACAGTTTTGGGGAAAAAGAATTTTGGGGACTAGAGCCTGTCCTGGATTGTTATGCCCTAAAGTTTTCTGTTGTAGCACAGCTACGCCAACTGCAAATCTGGGCAGGTCTTATCCACTGATGTGTGTGGCTCTGTCCTCAGCCAAGAACTCAAAGTGGTTCTGACTTCCCTTAGCATTTCTCTGAGAAACTACAGACTAGATCTTTTGAGATTCTACAAAGGGCAGGAGATCAATGTAAAACTGCATGTGTTTTACTGTGAAGGTTGTGTAAAGAATGAAGACCTTGGTAAAAATCAAGCAAATTTCTTTCCAGCAACTACTGTGTCATTGGGAAGCATCCCTTCTTCATGGACAAAAACTCACAGCATAAAACTTATCCTGAAGTCCTGGGAATCATTAATAATTTTTTTAAATATTCAAGTTTGATGTTTTATGTTGTTATAATTTCCATTACTTACAACATAGTGTTTGGAATAAAATTAAACCACACATGTTGGCAGCAGCTGGGGATGTAATCTGATGATATTCTAAAAATAGGTCGCCATAATTTAGCTTTTGATATAAATACTTTTCATAAGGACTGTAAATGGACATTTTTTTTCTAATTCTAGACATGTTCATATAATTGGAACTGAATCACTGCATTTACTACTGCATTATGGAAAAAAGAAATGTTTAAGATAACTAATCTAAGTTATAAGATAAATGCAAGTAAAAATATTTTTCATTTAAGAATTTAAAACTGATAGTTCCACAGAGTGGTGATGAATATATTATACATATTTATGTGGATTTTACAGGGTGTTTCAAAAGTCCCTGAGGACATACAGGATTCACAGTCTCAGCATGTCTTTGCATATAAATACAAACTGTTTTCTATACTTATTATAATAAATGCTGAAAATGGCCCTCATGTGCTGATAATAGAGATATTTTTGTTGTCAAGGTCACTAAGCATCAGAGGGGTCACAGATGCCATTTTCTGCAGGGGGACTCAGGGACTTCTGGCTCATTCCTGTAAATTAGTCATCCACATAAATACGTATAGACACATATGCATTATGCATAGTCACAACATAAATATATTTAACATTTAAGAAAATTTAGATATTCTACTGGTAAACTGACATATGTATACAATATAACTTGTATTTATTCACAGGAATTTGATTTTTTTGGTTGTTTTCAAATGTATGATTAGCTTCATATTTATTTCCCAAAGTTGTTAATAAGACTCCTTTAAAAAGAAGCAACATGTTTTACTTGCACATACATTTTTTAAACTAAAGTTGAGTAGTGAAAATTAATATTCACAAATAAATAAACAATGGAATTTTCTTTTTTTAGCAATTTTGGTTTTCATTTTATATTGTATAATTTTTTCATTGAAACTGTGCTTTTTAAAAAATTGATTCAAGTTAATGTTTTTTTTCTAGTTAAAAATCACAATGTCTGATATATTAACATATGTCAGCTTCCTACAGCAACCCTATGGGTCTGCCCACCTGTGATGTCATAGTAAGGAGGGGCTTTTCTTCAGCAGACTCCTCCCTCGGTATCTCCTTCATCACCATGGCAACAGCCTTATCTGCCGCCCTAGAGCCTTTTCCCTATAACAGTGAAATCAACAATGACTTGTGTCAGGAGAAATCTTTAACTTCTTATTTATTACCAGATATTCTAATGTTTAAAGAGCAATCCAACATAAATGAAGAGGCAGGCTGCTGCAAGTGAATCTTGAGGCTTTTGGCTGAAGAGAAAAAACACAAAATCTGAAAAAAGATTGTTTGTGAATTTTTAGTTAGCTCCTTTTTCACCTTTACAGCTGATATTATATTTAATTTTAACATAGTATTTTATATGTATATTTTAAGGCAATTTACATGACACGAACATCATTTTTATAGTATAAATTTTAAAACATTATGGATTGCCTATTATGTTCATTTATAGATTGTCCCTGTACAATTCCTAAAAGCTCTGGAGAACAGTGAGGAGTCCTGGATGGAGATCAGAATCGGGGTCTGCCTCCCACTGAGAGCTGGTGAGTGGTCTCTGGACTCTGTCATTTTGAGTGGATTGGGCATAAAAAGAGTAAAAGTGTCATAAAAACCTCTCAAAATTCTTCAGTGGCCTAATATCACAGGAATTCACCCAGCTTATTTTGTGGAGCTAGTATGAAAAAAAATTGTAATTCTGGTTTTGAGACCAAAGAATTTTGATAGAATTTTAGAATGTCTCTTCTTTGGAGACTCTTGTAAATCCAGATGTAAATAAAAATGATTAATAATAAGGCACTGATAGGTTCAGGTATAAATATAGATATAGGCATATATCTCTCCCTGTATTTTTTGTCTCATTACAGGCAGTCATAGACTTTACAGGGGGAGGCTGGCTTTTTGTCTTTTTGGTTTACTAGATTATTGAATTTTTGATACTAGATATAGTGTAATGGAAAAAATAAAATATCACTTTTTTAATTTAATTAGAGACATCTCATACAATGTAAAAATGAAACAATCGTTAAGCACTTTAAAAAGAAAAAACTTCCATTTTCTTAGGTCTCTGGGCAGAGCCTCCCTGGAGAAAATAATTTTATACTAACAGCATACGTGAATATCTGTGTTGTAAATCTACCTAAAATACAAGTGTAGTACACAGAGATATTATAGGCAAAAAACCAAAAATGGACATATGGGTTTGTTGTCTGAAAGGGAATTAAGAGCTAGGGTCAATATTAACTCCAGAGGTTAATAAATCTTGATACTTGCTATGCAATGCAAAAGGACAGAATTATGTTATCATCCTGGTCTCACACAGGGCTTTAAGGATTTAGAAGCTAGGTTTATTCTGGGAAGAAAAGCATTGTCCATTTTCTCAGGCATTCCTTTCTAAACTATAACAAGTGGCAGCTTTTATTTATGAAGACAAAAAGAAAAACTTCATAGTTACTAGATTTTAAAATGTGTGAATCTCTTTACAATGCTCAAAGTTTATTTCTTTGCTTTTTTATTCAAGAACTAGCATTACTGAATGATAAAGTGTTATTTTCATGATGGAGTATCAGCTACAAGAGATTTTATTAATCAGCTATGATGGTAGTTACTATCACATATGTTCTGAAAAGTTTCTAGGGCCAGAATGCTTAGAATAACTGACTTGTGGAAGAATAAAGGGAAATACTGATTGACTACATAAAAAATTGGGGTACATAATGATCCCAGGTTCATTCTTTAATGATACAATGTGCACTTCCTAAAATAGAGATGCATACAATTCTGAATTCTGGGAAAAGATTTGTTATGGTACTATTAAACTATTTTACATTTTTTCAAAATATAAAAATTATTTCAGTGAAACATTACATGCTATAAGCTTTATAGCTACACTCATTTACAGATTATGTTTAACAAATATTTTTGCAGCTTATTTTTTTTCAAAAAAGGAAAATCATTTGTAAAGAATTCTTTCCATGCTCCAAGAAGTTCTAATAAGATAGCAATAAACAGGGTGGCATGCTTATATTTAAATCCCTAACATACTTAAAAGAACAAACCTAATGTTATAAGGTGTCATTTTTAAAAAAATAATTCAGACTCTCATCTTGAGCTAAGAAAAAATGTCAATTGATGAGCATCTCAAAAAATTTCAGGTCAATATTTCAATACTCTATTTATTTGAAATGCTACCAATCCATAAACTACATATAGATATTTTCACATGTGCAACTATAATAGCTAGAATTAGCAACGGACATGCCATTTCACTAAAACAAACAAAAATAAAACAAAACAAAAATTAGTCCTTTCATGCTGAACTCTAGAACAAAGCAGTGGTCAGCTAGAAAGGATGTATAATTAACACATGCGGTGCTTTTTATTTCTTGCAGAAAAACCCACCAAAGCCAGAGTCAGGTCACTTTTTTGAAGACAGTGCCACTTTTTCTTCAAGGTTACACCTACTACCTGAAAAGAGTCATGATACCCATGTTAGTGCCTGCTTGCAGTTCTTGCAGTTTTTTTTCTTTATAGCCTTTAGCTTTTGAGTTATCACCCCAACAGCCTCACTGCTTTCCAAGGGTGGTGCAGTCCAAGAACAGAACCGGAAGTTCTGCCACAGCGACATCGCAGTGGCTGCAGACACAGGGTCTGACACTGCTGCCAACTCAAGCGAACGTACTCATATCAAAGCAAGATTTCCCCTAGATCATATTGCCATCTCCACCTGGTAGCTTAAAATTAAGCTGTGTTATTTCTGACGTGTCCATTTATCTTGTGGGATAACATTTCTAAAATTCAGAACTCCACTGATAACTGATTTGGCAATTCATGAAACTACACAACTCTGCTTATCAGCGGCTCTGCGAGGTGGACAGTAACACAACTGCACAGGTTCTTTCCTTCTTTGAAGTCAGTGGCTTAAAACATTGTGAGCACTGTATGTGCACAATTAGCTGGACTTCAAGCTCAATTTCTAAATATATCCACACCAGAGGGTAAATATTAACTTATTATTTGAAATATGATGAAGATGGCAGAAATGGAATATTCACTGAATATACACTCAAGCATGTAAGTACATTTAGATCACATTAAGCCTGTATGCTTTTACGTGATTCTTGGCAACAACAGGAAAGAATAGCGGGGCTTTAAGTTGATTACCACATCATGACACCCTTAGCAATTATTTCAGCCTATTTCTTTTAAAATAATACTTCAAAACCATATGTTCCCACTTTCTTGTTGAGTTTCTTGAGATATTTTAAATATTGTTTTCTTGGTAATTTGCTGTAGAAAATTCTTTGACACTTCTCTTTATCACAGAGTTCCCTCAGCAATAAAAATATATAAAATTATAGCTTCTCTAACAAATAATATTTCTTGAGAATAATTTGTCATTAACTTCTATTACAAGAGCAGGCATAAATGAATGAAACACAGAAAGCATAGCAAGTAATACTAAAATTATTAAGAAAACCCAATTTTGGCTCCCCCCTTTTTTTAAAATATAGAATATAAGAAACAGAGTAAAAAGTATTAGAAGTCACAGGATCTTCCCAGGCTGGACGCCAGGCTGTGAAGCTACCAGATGTCTTGAGATGAGGGGTGTTGGCTCCAGGCCTGTCTCACAAGGGAGGGAACTCAAGTATCTGGAGGAGCTACTATGCGCTGGGCACCCTGCTAGGTGTTTTATGTATTTTTACTCCTTTAATTGCATGAAACCTCTGTGGGGTAGAAATGAACTACGCTAGGTGGTTTGGGACATGGAGGCTAAGAGACACAGTGACTTGGTCAAGGCCTCCAAGCTAGAATGGGGCTGAGCCAGGATGGGAACCCAGGGCCTGAGCCCTGTGCTTCCTTGTCTCCCACATTGTCGTCCCTTCACCCGGCTTCGGCTTCGGGAGGCTGGAGGGCTCTCCCAGGCGGCCCTCGCTGCCTGCCGTTGTTGACGGCCATGCCTGCAGGTGTTTAAGAAACCATCCAAATTTTGGGCAGCAACCACTTCTCAGTATAATGATAGAGTCTGAATCAAGCAAATATTTTTGAAAAATATTTTCTTCAACCCACAATGGTCAGTAAGAATCAGCTACACATAACTTCATTCATAACCACAATTCTAACAAAATGTTTATCTCTTCTACCTCCATGGAAAATGAACCTCAGCATGTCATGCACCACACTGCTTTTTATTCCGTAAATCTTATTAGGTTTATAAGCTTTAGTATACCTATAATTCTAATTAAAATGCTAACTCAATGCTGTTAAATGCCATCTTTACTAGGATTTTCCTGAGATCTATTTTGGGTGCATGCAATGTATTTCCATGGTTCCACAGTCCATTTATAAGCAATTTTCTAGTTGCAGACTCTGTTACTACTATGTAAAGTTTTATGCTTTAAAAATTATTTTTAATCTATCAATCAGATTTCTTTTTATCGGAAATATTAAATAGAAGCTATGGAAATATTCTAAATTAGGGGAAAATTAAAGGACTACAGTAGTAGTCATCTCTAGCAACCCCACATTATCTACTGTCTGAACTTAAAAACCCTTTTATTCTGATTACAAAAATTAATATATGAATTGTCAAAAATTGAGAAAGAACAAATAAGAAAATAAAAACAACAAGCCTGATATTTTCATGCATGTTCCCCCAAGTTTTGTCTTTACAGCATTGAAGGTGAAACAGTGTTTTAGGATGAATGTTTTAAAGCTGTTCAAACTACCATCAAGTTTATAATTGTGAATGTATTCAATATATTTCTTTATATATACTGACATGTAAACAAATACCTGCCATCTATAAGATTTTGGCAACTCTGTTAGAAATGAAATGATATTCAGTTTTGTATATGCTAAAAAATTCTGTATCCCATAGGTTCTGGACCCTGGAATTAAATGTACCTGCAAGAAACTGGCTACAAAAAGGTTAATTTCTGATGGCCCTTCTCTGCTGTCACTCATATGCAGAGCCAGGATTACATTCCTTTACTCAGGAAGGCAAATGTCAGGGTGTTATGCTCTCTTCAAACTTCCGACTTGGGAAAATGTCAGAGCAAAGTTTCCCAGTGTGCTCTGTGTGCTGGTCACACCTGTCTACCCACACTCCC